GTCTATATATGATATTTTAGGGTACAAATTTGTACATGAATTTTAACCAAAAATAACGTATCCAGATTTAGATGCACAATTAATCTAGAGGCCAAACCATGAAAAAAAATCCAAACCTCGAGAAAATCGGTTGAGTTTTGGGCGAGTTATGGGGGTGGAACATTTCGACCTATGTCTATAAAGGATATTTGAGGGTACAATTTTGTACATGAATTTCGACCAAAAATAACGTATCCAGATTTAGATGCACAATTAATCTAGAGGCCAAACCATGAAAAAAAATCCAAACCTCACGAAAATCCGTTGAGTTTTGACCGAGTTATGGGGGTGTAAATTTCGACCTATGTCTATAAAGGATATTTGAGGGTACAATTATTTACATGAATTTCGACCAAAAAAAACGTATCCAGATTTTGATGCACAATTAATCTAGAGGCCAAACAATGAAAAAAAATCCAAGCCTCGTGAAAATCGGTTGAGTTTTGGCCGAGTTATGGGGGTGGAACATTTCGACCTATGTCTATAAAGGATATTTGAGGGTACAATTTTGTACATGAATTTCGACCAAAAATAACGTATCCAGATTTTGATGCACAATTAATCAAGAGGTCAAACCATGAAAAAAAATCCAAGCCTCGTGAAAATCCGTTGAGTTTTGGCCGAGTTATGGGGGTGGAACATTCGACCTGTGTCTATATAGGATATTTGAGGGTATAATTATTTACATGAATTTCGACCAAAAATAACGTATCCAGATTTTGATGCACAATTAATCTGGAGGCCAAACCATGAAAAAAAATCCAAGCCTCGAGAAAATCGGTTGAGTTTTGACAGAGTTATGGGGGTGGGAACTTTCGACCTATGTCTATAAAGGATATTTGAGGGTACAATTTTGTACATGAATTTCGACCAAAAATAACGTATCCAGATTTAGATGCACAATTAATCTAGAGGCCAAACCATGAAAAAAAATCCAAACCTCACGAAAATCCGTTGAGTTTTGACCGAGTTATGGGGGTGTAAATTTCGACCTATGTCTATAAAGGATATTTGAGGGTACAATTATTTACATGAATTTCGACCAAAAAAAACGTATCCAGATTTTGATGCACAATTAATCTAGAGGCCAAACAATGAAAAAAAATCCAAGCCTCGTGAAAATCGGTTGAGTTTTGGCCGAGTTATGGGGGTGGAACATTTCGACCTTTGTCTATAAAGGATATTTGAGGGTACAATTTTGTACATGAATTTCGACCAAAAATAACGTATCCAGATTTTGATGCACAATTAATCTAGAGGTCAAACCATGAAAAAAAATCCAAGCCTCGTGAAAATCCGTTGAGTTTTGGCCGAGTTATGGGGGTGGAACATTCGACCTGTGTCTATATAGGATATTTAAGGGTATAATTATTTACATGAATTTCGACCAAAAATAACGTATCCAGATTTTGATGCACAATTAATCTAGAGGCCAAACCATGAAAAAAAATCCATGCCTCGTGAAAATCGGTTGAGTTTTGGCCGAGTTATGGGGGTGGAACATTTCGACCTATGTCTTTAAAGGATATTTGAGGGTACAATTTTGTACATGAATTTCGACCAAAAATAACGTATCCAGATTTTGATGCACAATTAATCAAGAGGTCAAACCATGAAAAAAAATCCAAGCCTCGTGAAAATCCGTTGAGTTTTGGCCGAGTTATGGGGGTGGAACATTCGACCTGTGTCTATATAGGATATTTGAGGGTATAATTATTTACATGAATTTCGACCAAAAATAACGTATCCAGATTTTGATGCACAATTAATCTAGAAGCCAAACCATGAAAAAAAATCCATGCCTCGTGAAAATCGGTTGAGTTTTGGCCGAGTTATGGAAGTGGGAACCTTCGACCTGTGTCTATATGGGATATTTGAGGGTATAATTTTTTGCATGAATTTCGACCAAGAATAACGTATCCAGATTTTGATGCACAATTAATCTAGAGGCCAAACCATGAAAAAAAATCCAAGCCTCGAGAAAATCGGTTGAGTTTTGGCCGAGTTATGGGGGTGGAACATTTCGACCTATGTCTATAAAGGATATTTGAGGGTACAATTTTGTACATGAATTTCGACCAAAAATAACGTATCCAGATTTTGATGCACAATTAATCTAGAGGCCAAACCATGAAAAAAATCCAAGCCTCGAGAAAATCGGTTGAGTTTTGGCCGAGTTATGGGGGTGGAACATTTCGACCTATGTCTATAAAGGTATTTGAGGGTACAATTTTGTACATGAATTTCGACCAAAAATAACGTATCCAGATTTTGATGCACAATTAATCTAGAGGTCAAACCATGAAAAAAAATCCAAGCCTCGTGAAAATCCGTTGAGTTTTGGCCGAGTTATGGGGGTGGAACATTCGACCTGTGTCTATATAGGATATTTGAGGGTATAATTATTTACATGAATTTCGACCAAAAATAACGTATCCAGATTTTGATGCACAATTAATCTAGAGGCCAAACCATGAAAAAAAATCCAAGCCTCGGGAAAATCGGTTGAGTTTTGGCCGAGTTATGGGGGTGGGAATCTTCGACCTATGTCTATATAGGATATTTGAGGGTATAATTATTTACATGAATTTCGACCAAAGATAACGTATCCAGATTTTGATGCACAATTAATCTAGAGGTCAAACCATGAAAAAAAATCCAAGCCTCGTGAAAATCCGTTGAGTTTTGGCCGAGTTATGGGGGTGGAACATTCGACCTGTGTCTATATAGGATATTTGAGGGTATAATTATTTACATGAATTTCGACCAAAAATAACGTATCCAGATTTTGATGCACAATTAATCTAGAGGCCAATCCATGAAAAAAAATCCATGCCTCGTGAAAATCGGTTGAGTTTTGGCCGAGTTATGGGAGTGGGAACCTTCGACCTGTGTCTATATGGGATATTTGAGGGTATAATTTTTTGCATGAATTTCGACCAAGAATAACGTATCCAGATTTTGATGCACAATTAATCTAGAGGCCAAACCATGAAAAAAAATCCAAGCCTCGAGAAAATCGGTTGAGTTTTGGCCGAGTTATGGGGGTGGAACATTTCGACCTATGTCTATAAAGGATATTTGAGGGTACTATTTTGTACATGAATTTCGACCAAAAATAACGTATCCAGATTTTGATGCACAATTAATCTAGAGGCCAAACCATGAAAAAAAATCCAAGCCTCGAGAAAATCGGTTGAGTTTTGGCCGAGTTATGGGGGTGGAACATTTCGACCTATGTCTATAAAGGTATTTGAGGGTACAATTTTGTACATGAATTTCGACCAAAAATAACGTATCCAGATTTTGATGCACAATTAATCAGAGGTCAAACCATGAAAAAAAATCCAAGCCTCGTGAAAATCCGTTGAGTTTTGGCCGAGTTATGGGGGTGGAACATTCGACCTGTGTCTATATAGGATATTTGAGGGTATAATTATTTACATGAATTTCGACCAAAAATAACGTATCCAGATTTTGATGCACAATTAATCTAGAGGCCAAACCATGAAAAAAAAATCCAAGCCTCGGAAAAATCGGTTGAGTTTTGGCCGAGTTATGGGGGTGGGAATCTTCGACCTATGTCTATAAAGGATATTTGAGGGTACAATTATTTACATGAATTTCGACCAAAAAAAACGTATCCAGATTTTGATGCACAATTAATCTAGAGGTCAAACCATGAAAAAAAATCCAAGCCTCGAGAAAATCGGTTGAGTTTTGGCCGAGTTATGGGGGTGGAACATTTCGACCTATGTCTATAAAGGATATTTGAGGGTACAATTTTGTACATGAATTTCGACCAAAAATAACGTATCCAGATTTTGATGCACAATTAATCTAGAGGCCAAACCATGGAAAAAAATCCAAACCTCGCGAAAATCGGTTGAGTTTTGGCCGAGTTATCGGGGTGGGAAATTTCGACCTATGTCTATAAAGGATATATGAGGGTACAATTATTTACATGAATTTCGACCAAAAATACCGTATCTAGATTTTGATGCACAATTAATCTAGAGGCCAGACCATGAAAAAAAATCCAAGCCTCGTGAAAATCGGTTGAGTTTTGGCCGAGCTATGGGGGTGGGAATCTTCGACCTATGTCTATATAGGATATTTGAGGGTATAATTATTTACATGAATTTCGACCAAAAATAACGTATCCAGATTTTGATGCACAATTAATCTAGAGGCCAAACCATGGAAAAAAATCCAAACCTCGCGAAAATCGGTTGAGTTTTGGCCGAGTTATGGGGGTGGGAACCTTCGACCTATGTCTATAAAGGATATTTGAGGGTACAATTATTTATATGAATTTCGACCAAAAATAACGTATCTAGATTTTGATGCACAATTAAACTTGAGGCCAAACCATGAAAAAAAATCCAAACCTCGTGAAAATCGGTTGAGTTTTGGCCGAGTTATACGGGTGGGAACCTTCGACCTATGTCTATATAGGATATTTGAGGGTACTAATTTTACATGAATATTGACCATATATCTTAGCCGAAAACCATTAACCTAATCGAAATTTTGTCCGTTAATATATATATAATTAATATAAGAATAGAAAATAGTAGCAAATAGATCAAGTTGTTAATTTAAGAGCAGTCAACTGAAAAAAACGGCGTGGGTTTCAACCCTAAGTTAAATAAGTAGGCGTTGATATGCTTGATTGGAAGGACTTTATAGCAACTTCCATAAAACAATGTTTATGATGGTTTTGTTGTTATAAGCTGTATAGGATATAGTTACAAACTAAACCTAACTTAAGCACCGACTATTCGAGCCCGGATTTTTGTTGATAAGTTGGCGACACGATCCACTTCAACTTCCCATTCGCCGGGTATTCTAGTGTTTTATGTTTCTCTCATTTATATCCGAGTCATCACTAAATTGAAAATCGTTTTTGAGTTTTGCAAAAGCGTTTTTTAATTTTCCTGTTCAAACGTACTTAAATCTTAAGAGAAGCTCTTGATGACATAGCGTATCCAGCCTCTGAATCGCCTGACATTTACATAGACGCCCGGATAGTTTTTGTTGGCACAGCCAATCCCAAAGGAGACGACGCCGTAGAGCGTGCGTCCAAATGCCAGCGGTCCGCCCGAGTCGCCGGAGCAGCTGTCGTGGCCCAAGCGCTGGGCGCACAGCATTTGGTTGTAGATGCGCACGCCGCCTTTTTTGTACATGCCGCGACACCGACCGGCTGACACCCTGCACACGACGGTGGCGCGCAGATGCCGCTGCACATTCTGTGCTGACGCCTTGCGCAAGCCCCAGCCGCTGACCATATAGCAGCGCGGTGGAGGCGACTGCTTTTCTCGGCTGCTGCTGGGCAGGCGCGCCGGCTGCACGCAGCGCCCATAGCGCAGGGGCGTGGCTAGGCGCAGCAGCGCCACATCGTTCTGCATGGTCTTCTTGTTGTAGCCGCGATGGGGCACAGCAAACAGCACCCGATGCAGCTGGCCGCCGCTTGGCTGCACAGCGGAGCCCACACGCACCCGATAGTTGCCCCTGTAGCCGACGACACAGTGGGCGGCCGTGAGCACCCAATAGCGGGACAAGATGCTGCCGCCGCAGACAAACTGACCCTCGTAGCGCAGCGCCACCTGGTAGGGTGCACGCTCGCAGGGTATGCGTATGCCGTTGACAATGCGCGTCGGTGGCTCCTCCTGATGCTCAATGGCATTGATGTGCGGATTGCTGGAGATGTTGCCCGTGCTGGCTGGTGTTGCCCGGCCGTATGACATGTCCAGAAAATGTGTGCCCCAGTCGGTGTCATGCTGAGCTGTGCCGCCAAGCAGCCGCAAGAGCAGCAGTAGTCCACTTCCAAGCATGGTCAATCCTCGTCGCGCGACTTTCGCTGAGCAACTGGCAGAACAGTCCGCAGAATTTCAACTTTCGACCTGTGAACGCGCGCAGCTTAAGCTAATTATAATTTGTGACTGTTCCACATTTGAAGCATTGCATATATTAAGATTTGCTTCGATCCCTTTACCTTGTGCTCCCACTGAGCATTTGTCGGTGGGGCGACAAATTTGTGGCTTAACTTCTGCGTCTATCTGCGGATGATGTAATTGGCCGCGAAAGTGAAATGTGCCAAGCCAGAAATCTAATGAATTTTTTTTCGTTTTTGGTTTTGTGTTTTCTTTCTACCGCTTTTTGCGCAAATTCCTCAATAATTTCGGCTCCACTGGCAATTGGTCGCTGCCAGCGCATAAATCTTGCGTGTTTTGGCTTTTTTCTGCCGCTGGAGAAGCTGGACTTGGTCATTGGCTACTGTTTCTTTTTTATTTTTATTTTGCCATTTTTGGTAGGGCGCCGCTTCCGCATGGCACATGCCAGCGAGACACAACAATAAAACGATTAATTTCATGTAAATTTTTGCGCAATTTAATTATGTGCGAAATCTCAGCTAGACAATGCATGTGGGTAGATTAAGGGAGTTGGGGGGTATAGGAGCTGTTGTAGGCGGCTAGGAATAATTAGGCAGTCGCTGTGCAGAAAGTGAAAGGAGCAACACAGCCTGGATGCAATCATGATGATAATAATGATGATGAGGATTATGTAAATATAGCGTAATTCATTAGCTGGATGCGTGTGTAAATACTTTTTACTATCAAACGGGTCGCCATCCTTTACAATCGATGTAATTATTAAAATAGCAGCAACTAATCCACAGAACAGCATCACATCTTTGGCTATAGAGAAATACACATAGCAGAGCTTAAGGGGAACTTTAAGCATGTTAATTGTAATTAAAATAGACATTACTAGCAAAAGTCCAATAAACAGCTTTAAGTGTTTTGCAATGAAATAATTGCTTACAATTGATAGAGCTTTAAGATTTAAGTGAGCTTTAATATTAATTGAAAGCGGTGGGAAGCTCTTGCTGACATATTTATACAGATAGCATAGCTGTTTTTAAGCACAACTATTGGGCACACACAAACATAAGTTTGTTGAGCTTTAAACTAAATCAGTAAAATCTTAAAGCTTTCACGTGTTTCTGGTAATATGCATGCATATTTAACAACACTAGGCATATGGTTCTAATCTTGTATGGAACCAGAAATTAGTTGACATTTCTCATTAATTTAGGTTTAAAATTGACAAACTGAAAGATTCGTTGAGTTTAAGCTGATATTTAGCTAAACTAGTTTTAAGCTTGCACACTTAAAGCTCGCCAGAGCTTTTGCTACTGTTCAGCTAATGCTTATGCATATTAAACATTAATTAAGCATAAAATGAATAACATTTGGTTAGCATAACATTTTAAGGTTAAATAGGGCAGATGCCTGCTCGCGTTGCGATTATAAATATGAAATGGCAAGCAAAACTATTTGGTGCCGTCAGCAGTCTGCAGCTGAAAACCATGAGAAATTGCAATTTGTATGCTTTAATTAAAAAATCTGTCAAATGCCAGTTTGTGGGCTCATTAATGAGTTTCTATGGCAGCTGGGAGGCGACGGCGGCTGCACTTAACCACTCAGCCCGAAGCAACAACAAAATCATGCTTGACATAGCGTGAACTCCGCATATACGATAGACTAGCTAAGCGAATATAAATATATATATATATGTGTGTGCTTTATGCATGTATGTGTTTGTTTAAGATATTTGGCTTGATATGTTCAGCTCACGCTGATGCGACTGCTAGGCATCTTGCCTGCACCTTTGACAAAACAAAAGACTCAGGCAACGAACTCGATTATTATTATTTTGTATATATATTGTTTTACCCTTGTCGAGAGTATTCGAATTTTGCCAGGTTATTTGTAAGGCACAAAGGAAAACACGTTCGACCCTATAAAGCATATATATATTCCTGATCAGCTTCAATGTCCGTCATGGCTTGCCCATCTGTGCAAACTTCTCTTTTCTTTGTAAGGCTGTCTGCCTATAACTTTGCAGAGATACGCTTTTCTGTTGTTGTCCTACAACTTATATCAATGTTTCCCTATTTTCCAACATATCTTAGCCAAAAGTTGGCAATTTCTAGCTACACAGTTGTTGCTAAATATCTGTACTTTAGGGTATCTACAGTTCGGCTAGCCGTTCTTAGTTTTGTTTTTATTTTTTTTTATTAATTTTGCTTGCCTGTCAACTGTTGCATAATACACGCTTTGTGTGTTTGTTTGCGGCTGACATGAGCCGCTTCTAAGCGCGCCAAATTGATTTTTAATTATGGCTTGTCAAAAGATGAAATATAAACGAGTTGCTGTTCTCATTTCTGGGAAATCAATCCTTGAGCGTATTCGCAAACTGTGCGCTGTTTGGTTGAGTAGACAATAAAAACAAAAGACTTAAATCGTTTTCTCATCCCAAATCTGAATAGAAATATTCTAAAGCGGCTTTAGGTAGATCTGACAGGCCTTAAATCGCGTGTCTTCTAATGATATCCGGAATATATATACATTTTTATGATGAGAAATTTCTTGTATATATAAAGTAGTAAGATGAAATAGGGGATAAATAAAGATATATATGAAGTACTTGTATATTTTGTGGCTTTATATATATATATATTATATAACCGGAAAGAATGTTCTTTCTATTTAGGTTCTTTTTATTTATCTCGATTGGGGGTTCATTAAGCTACGTGTAGCTTTCCCAAACACAATTAAATAACTTCTCTTTTTAATTCTGAAAATGAAAAGTAATTTCTTACATTAAAATATTTGTCTCTATACAAGAATTTGTTGAACAAGTGATTCATTAATTATAAAAATATCACCGACAACTGCGGAAAATTGGCGGGAAAAAATACAAAACTGTGTAATAGTCGAAGTATTGATAAAAAGACAAAGATAAATAAACTAAATTGATGATGAATATCCTTAAATTTAGTAAGCATTTGTGTAAACCAAAGAAATTGCTTAAGTTGGAATATAGTCCAAAGAGTCTTTAATTCGGTAGATGATCATAATAATTAAATGTATGACGAGGCTGACCGTCATTCGAGTCTGATCTAAAAAATTTCTCATCGTTCTTCATATTTAATGAGCACTAAGACAGTCAGAGCCTTATCTAACAAATTTCCCATAGTTCTTCATATTTAATGGATACGAAGATCGTGGAGAGACAGCTGCTCGGTCACAATTAAGCTGTTCAATTGAAATATGGCAACTTTCATTTTCAAAAACATTTTGTGCCGCCGCCAGCGATAATTGAAACATATATTTTGTAGTAGCATAAAAATCATGCCAGAGCCACACTCGAGCACGACACGGAGACTAAAGCCGGGCGCGACATTTAGTCAGAAATTTCACCCATTTTGCACGTTCCACGGCGGCAAAGCAAACAGCAGCCCAAAGAGCCAAAGCCAACGCCAAAGCCAAAGCCGTAACCAAAACGAGAGACCTCGTCGCGGCAATGTTAGTTAATCATTTAATTTCATTGCGCGCACGCCGGCTTTTTATCAAGTCCGATTCGGAGATTCGGCAGCTGCGGGAGCAGCCAGCTCAACACCCGTTCCAGCCATATCAATAATTATCAGCAAAGCCATCAGACGAACCGATAGCATAGCCAGCCAGTCAGTGTGGCAGCCAGGCAGCGAGGCAGGCAGCACACCTTGTTGCAAGTAGCCAATCGCCCGCCCGCTGTCTAACTCTGTTTTTCTTCAGTGTGTGTGTGTGTGCGTGTGTGTGTGCGTTGTGTGCCAAGCCGTCATTTTGGAAAATTGTGACATTTAGACACAACAAATCATAGCAGGCGGGCATCATTAGGCACTTGGCTGTAGTTGTTGTTGTTGCCGCTCTGTTTGGTATTTAAATACCCTGTATAATTTGAAAAAATGGGGTATCAGGTTTTTGTACAAATTTATGTTAGCGACTGTGGAAAGCTTTTTTAAACCCATTATAAATATAGTCTGCAACAGAAGAAGAAGAACTGAGTTGATCTAGTCTAGACAGTTTGTCTGTTTGTTAGTCTCTTTCAATCTGGGATACTATAGAAATATAACGAATATTTAATTCTGTTTTGATAAGTATTTCGCCCTCCCCAAAATTAAAACTTAGTAGCGACTGAATAAAGTTAATGGGGGGCCAAGGAAAGAAGAGGCTCAGCTAACGCATAAAGAAGTCAACTTTTAACGAAGCTTCGACGTTGGGCTGAGGGTATCTGTTAGTCCTGTATGGCCGACTAGAGCACTCTTACTTGTTTTGTATGTCAATGGGTGTATATAGAAATCGAAAGTTTCACACTTGTCAATTAAGTGTACCAAAGTTGTTGTTGTTGTTGTTGTCGTTGAGGCCTCATCAGGCGAGTGCAGTTGAAAAGCGGCTGTCAATGAAAATGAAATTTTATTGAGATTTTTTTTTTTATTTCGAAATTAATTAGAAAAGTGCCTGCGTGTGCGTGTGTGTGTGTATTTTGGTAGCTTAATTGCTTTGACGTGTGTGACTGCGTGTGTAACTGAATGGGATGTGCCCATGTGTTTGTGTGTGTGTGCGTTTGTGTTTGTGGTTATATAAGTCGTAAAATATTTAAGCCATAATAATCTGGTATTGAAAAACGACTATCACTTTTACTATCACTCGTCGCCTGCACCCCACGAACAAGCGCGCCCATAAACCTAACAAGCGAATATCATTCGAGTCCGCACTTCTAAGCGATTCTACAGTGAAAGCGATCGTGTGATTGGGTCAAGGCAAGGGGGTTAGGGTGGTGTGTGGGGTCCCGGACAATGTTGACAATGTTGTACCTTATGCAATCACATCACTCAGTAGCATGACGTGCAACTTCAGCGGCTCATTAAACTGCACATAATTGTCGTTAAATGCAGGTAAAAACATAGAGCTATATGTATGTTGTCGCTGTCCGGGCTGTCTGACAA